TTATATTTTCATTATACTAGGAAGGAAAAATGATTAGATCAATCACAACACCTTAGCCCAAGTGATATACTTAGCAACGAGATGGCATCAAGCACAGGTTAGAAAATGACAATTTGTAAGTTATTAATCTATCACCTTTAACCATGTGAATGAAATGAAAATTGAGGCCCAGCCCAAAATATGTTTACAGTGAATAAACTCTTCATTATTCCAAATTTACCCTTAGAAAGAGTTTGGGAGGAAGAGATAAATGTGTAGAAGTATAGGGAAATATTAGCAGTGAGGCCAGAGAATGCAGGAAGATTATGTAAACTCTAGGAAACTGTTGAAAACAAGAGAAAAACACAGAATGAATGAACAAAGACAAGAACAGAACAACTTAACCAATAGGGAGGCTAGAAACTGTATTTACATTCCTTTCAAACTAATGAGAATTGAGAGGAAGAAAAAGAAAAGAAAAGAGAAAGAATAAATCTGAATTAGGGCAGGAACAAAAGGGAAGATGAAGAACAATGTGAGAGAATGAGAGAGCAAGACAGCAAAAGAAGAGAGAAACAAAAAGAAAAGATGGGAAAGGGTAGAAAAAATTTAAATATGAGACAAAAGTAATTCCACAAATGAAAAATGAAGGGCTTTCTTCAGGGTATGTCTCTGCTGTCACAATAGACAACGTGGGCAGCAGTAGGCAGGTCTAAGTCAATTAGGCTCAGGGAGCCAGCAACAGAACCCTTAGATTCAGGCTGATTTTTGGCTGTGTGTCCCAAGTTGAGCTCCCTGACCTCCTTCAGGGTTGAACTCTGCAAGGTTCTACTACAGGTTCCAGCTGCCCTTACCCTGAAAATAGTCCAGGTTTTGATGGGAGATGGTGATCCCTCTGACTTACTAACTAAAGTGTTCTGGAGTGCCTTCATTGCAGAGATTCCCTTCACTTTTCTAGTAGGCTTTAATTTTTGTCAAGGAGCTTGAGAGTGAGGCCCTCTTCCTGTTTTTCACTTCTGCTCTGTCTTCTGGAGCTCAGAACAATGGCCTTTAGGACTCCCTGGGCCTCTGTGGTGTTGGTCCAGGTACCAGGGCAGCCAGAAAGCCAAAGACCAGCAAGTTTGGGTTTGGAATGGTGCTGCAGACTACTCACTCAGAAGCCAATGTAGAGGTGGGGTGGCAGCCCAGCTCCACACAGCTCAGCTCCTCACCCATCCACTCTGTGCTTGGATCCTGGGCTAGAGACTTCTTGATAAAGCCAAAACTAGAAGACATTGTACTTGCAATGTTTCTTTCTATTATTAACATTGGAATTGTCATTCTGAGTTTGAATTGTGTCCATTTTATAAAATGTGAATCAAAACCCAGCCAGAACATGTAACAATATTAATATCAAGGTGCAGTACTTGGTTGTATTAAATTTTTGCCTACTTATATTGGTTATGGGATAAATTGGTTAAAGCTGTAAAAGGTCAGAGATTAAGTTAAGATTAAACTGGTAAAACTTTATGTCTGTATATTTGACAACACTGTTTCATATATTATAATGTCTTATTTTATTCAAGTACCTATACAAACAAGTCAATTGATTATACTTTTATTCACAACAAATATTCTTTATAAATGAAATACAGTTGCCTGTACACTTATTATTGAGGGTTTTGGAGAGACATTACAATGCCTAAAGTCTTTCTCACATGCAAGCAAAGGTCTGCATATAAATGTAAGGTAGTTGTGTTATGGAAGTGGTAAGTAACACAAAACTGAACTGCATGGGCTACAACAAAACCTTTAATGAAATGTCCCACTGAGCCAGGAATTTTAGGGATGATCCTCATAATTTATATGTGCCCTACTTCTGAGCAGTATTGTCTTAAGTAATTGTGGGAGTAAATGCCAGCAGACTGAAAAATGTGTAATCCTGTTACTTTCTGAAGCAGAAGATTTTAAGGTTCACTTATGTAGGTTGGGTGATGGTGAATGAGTCCCCAGGTGAATGAGTGTCTCTGTCAATTCTTCCCTTTGTAAAACATCTCACCAAGATTGGCATCCATTCCTGGAGAACAAGGTTCAACTTCATGGCTGAGAATGCAGGGTGGCATCTAGGAAATGTGGCGGAGGTTGAGGGATCATTTCTACCAAATGATGCAAATCTAGTGTAGTTTGAAAAATTCTACCATATTTATCTAAAGATGGAAAGAAGTCCCACATGAGGGTGGCTCATAGTTACCTCTTTTTTGGAATGTAGGAAGGAATTCCTTACATTTAAAGTAAAAGGCTGAATAGGCTAAGGAATAATAGACACAATGCTTTTTATGTTCCTATCTATGAGATGACTGCATTTGTGCCTTATTTTTTAACCAGAACTACACACTCAAATTTTACTTGGGAAGAGTTGAGACCCTTGTGCTTTTGTCCAAGTTCACTGCATTTTCTGCTGCTTGGCAGTAGGCTCATATTTCCTTGAAGATCTGTGACTTCCTAACAGATGAGTTTAAATCCTCAGCACAGACTGCCATCTTAATAACATTTTTCTCTATCCACAGATTCATTGCTTAGTTGTTATCCTGTGACAGAATCTGTACTGGAAAGCAACTGACAACTCTGTGAATGGCATTGAAT